TTTGTTTCTCCGAAGACAGTTACCAAATCTTCAGGGTGGGATTTCGGGACTGCGACATACAGAAACACGGACAGTGCAGGAAGATGCTTACGGCAAAGCAAGGTGGCCGCTGCTGGATGCAGCCAGGACTCAGCTCAGGCTGCTGAGCAACTTGTAACACTACACTTCCCTGAAGCTGCTGAAGTGCCTACATGAACGTATCCCGTTTTGGCAGGTAAAGGAGTTTAGTAGCTTTGTTAACACTTGAAATGCAGATTTTATGATGCTTTTTGTAAACTCTACCAGTTCTAGCTCAAACAAGATTCCGTAAGCTACATTGGCAGCACAGAATTTGATTCAGCCGCACCGTTTCACCACTAAAAACTTGTCTTAAAAAAAAGGAGGCTTGCCCCTGTAGAGGACACTGTGAAAACACTAGTGTATAAGTAGTAATGCAAAAATAAACAGCATCATGGGTGAAAGCAGTATCATCAAGTCTCCAGCACAGAAGAGATCACAGCTGTTGTCATATAAAAAGATGTAATTTATAGTTCTATTACCAACATTTAAGAAGATGGAAGAAACCCTGTTTATGTAATATACAAAACACACTCTTGAAGGGATTAGACTAAATAATGCCCTAAATTCAGCATCTTCCAGTCTAATAAAGGACATAAAACCTGTTCAGCAATCTGTTTCTATTTTAAAAGACAAGCTATGGTATACATTACAAATATTGTTTGTAAAAGACAGCTATGGAAAGAGGGTTGGTGGGATGTTCTGCATATATTAATGCTTCATTAAAAATGCCATAAGAAGTATTGAAAAAAAAAATCTAAGTTTAAGATGCCCTCCTACATAAGGAAAGGATTTTAAAGCACTTATTAAATTACTTCACTTGCTTGAGCAAAAACATGAGCTTTCTTGGAAATCAGGACAAGCTGATTATATAAGACACAGATAGTTCTTTTTTAAAATGCTATTTCAACCCATGAAGATTTCTATCTACAGTTTAAAAACACCAAAGCGTACCGTTTGGGCTGAGGCTCTTACAGGGATCTTAATGCATATCATTTTGAATTACTCTAATTAATTAGTTAATTTTATACGGACTTGTGACTACTAGCATTACCCTCCTGGGCTCCAATTCGGTCAAATGGCGCCCAATTTAAATTGTCACCTTCAGAAGAGGCAGGGATCATCTTTCCGTTCAGCAGTGGGGCTGAATGCTTGGGTCCCAGTCGGTGAGCGGGGCAGCTGGAGGACAGCAGGGCCAGACCCATCGTCAGCACTTTGTTTAAAGCCTGTTTGCTCTGCGGGCTTCAGGGCAAAGAGGAAAAAGGAAAATGCGCTGTGTACGAGCACATCTGTCTCACTCCAGATCTATTTAATTGAGTGCTGTAGAAGTCACTGTAAAACCGGACAGTGAAATCTCCGACAGCACAAGGGGTAGGACACCAGATTGGCAAGGGCCATCTCTGGTTTATTCCTGATTGCATAATAAAGAGATCAAGGGGAACTTGTGTTGATAGACAAGCCTAAGTGACATGGAGCTGTTCCACAGACGGCCCAGGGGTGCGGCAGCAGAGCGGTGTCCCAGGACAGCTCTGCCGCTCCTGGCAAAGCTGTGACACTGCTGCACCTGGCGAGGCTGAACCTAAGGCCCCAGATGGGGCTTTCATGGTGGTCCCCAAGCTGGCATCTGTCCCTGCCCCTTTGGCAGGTTAGCAGTCAGAGCTGCTTTCTGGCTCAGGACCTCAGCTCGTTATAAAAATGAACCCTTTACTTGGGCCCAGCTTTCAACTCTGGTCCAGCAATGATGAGCTTGAATCAGGGGAGTTTACCCACGCTGTTAATGGCGAAGATAAGAGTTTGGCCTTCAAGTGGATGAACTATCCTTCAGGCTGGCTCAAATCCTGCCACCTACCTAACAGGGTTTCTTTCACGGAAGAAAGACTGAGTTTTCAAACTTAATTTAAAAAGAAAAGGAAAAAAAGAAAGCGCCCTGGCTGTGCAAAGAAGTGCTCCTTTCAACACATTCCCTGCTCCGTGAGGACGCCCGCAGCAGGGTCATCTCACCTAACTTCAGATGCCCGCGGGGCAGCTGTCTGCCTCAGAGAGCTCCCGTGTCCCAGCCCACGCTCCCTTCACCGAGCAGAGAAAATCGAGCTTTCAGGGCACAAGGCAACTGACCTATTTTAGGTACCTGCTCCAGGAGGAGATGAATCAGCCCCAGCAGCGCCTGCTTCTCTCTGCTGACGATAAAGAGAGTCTAGCTAATATACCTGTGGCCAAGTAAATCCCACCCTTCATGTTGAGTATGTACAAAAATGCTCAGAAAGCTACTAATTTGCAACACTAACACCATGCTGTATATGAAGCGTTTAAGATCCAGAGAGCGGAAGAAGCACTGCAATTAGCTTTAATATGAAGCTGTAAGGATTCTGATAACACAAGTAAATTAATATCCAAGCAGCAGGTGCCTAGAGTAATTGCAGAGTCGTTACAAAGGGAAGTCGCAGAAAATTGCCATTTGCAAGGCTGCAGCAAACGTAAAGATAATTTCTTGATGTAAGCCAGTGCAGGGATCTGAAGGCTCCAGCCTTCCAAGGCTCAATTAGCAGAGCTGAACCACGACAGGCAGAAAAAGCTCGAAGGGGTGACTGATGAAAGACTCCAGACAAATGAGCTAGATGTCTGTAGTTCAGCTTAGGTTCATATGAGACACATGAAGAGCCGGGTCAGAAATCTTCCAATAGAGTATTAAAGAGTGAAACACAGTCATACTAGTGAAACACGGTCATATTAGCAACAATACTTGCTTGCCTGCCATACGCACAGATAACCGGCCTGTTTTGGAATAACTGAAAAGCAGGAGAGGACATGGCAAAAAGGTGACTGTGTACAGCCATGCCTACAGAGGTTACTGGTGTCTGCAGAGGAGAAACACTCCCATCACCCACTGCATCGAAGCGTTGGTCAGCAAGCCCCCAGTCTCTACTCCCAGCCACGCCAACCAGACCACCCGAGGGAAGAGCCCGCCTGACAAAGCCCATGTAGTTAATTCAGGTGGCTCAGCAAAGCTGCAGGAGTGGTGCCTGCAAGCGGTGGGCCTGGGGACGGATGGAGAAGCAGTCAAGCGCCGGCAGTGACAAACAGCCTTCTGGCATACCAAGAGTAGGGAAGAGCCGCGGGAGTGCCAGCAGAGGCCTTTGGGAAGGGCAGATCTTCAGAGGTGCCCTCTCCATGCCCTGGGAGGACGGGTGACTGAGCAACACCTGAGCATCCCACAGTGCAAAGCAGAAGGAGCACAGTCTCACTGTAAAACGCTCAAGTGAAAACCTTGCCAAGTGATGACCTTGCAGCAGCACATTCTTGAGATTACAAAGTTAAAATATTTTAATAGTGGTATCTCATGCAAAATGAATAAAGGATTCAGTGGAAGAATTGAAATTAAAAGCTTAAGTATTCCAGCTATGCTACTTGGTCCAATGGATGACATTCTTTCTGCCTAAAAGCTTTGTCCCAAGGCTTGTCCCTTAATACCTCCATGGTCAGAGCAATATATCAGTGTCTGAACATGACCACCAGCAAGCCCATTAACTGAAGCAGTATGAATGAAATTTAATTCCAAGCAAAGACAAAAATGTGTTGTAGCTTAAGGATGGCATTTTCAAATTTGTGTAAAAGGACTGAAGAGAACAAAATCCCATCAGTTCTCAAACGATTTGCATTCTTGGCTTTCCCTAACACATCTGAAATTCAGCATTGTGAGTTTTGCCAGTACTATCAGGACAGAAATTACAAACAAAATGTTCACAACTAATTTACATAGACAGCTGTATCAGCCCTGTACCTATTATCCATTCCCCTGTAATTCAAGGTGTCATGGCTTGAGATCCAAGAAGACATAGTTTTGTAGCCAAACTAGACTAACAGCATGTATGATTTTCAAAAGATACTCTTTTAATTTACATAGGAAGAGACACCGTTTGCATTTTAATATTCCCACTAGCATCTACTGGTGATCAACTAGTATTACCTTAATCACCCTGAGCATTACACCAGACTCTGTGGTGCTATCAGCTTCAAGAACTGTAAATATTTATAGCAGACTCCTCTTGGCTGCTTTAAAAGTGTGGACAGATAACGGTTGATTTTCTCAAGCACAGCTATTGCTGGCTGGAACTTAAAAGTCCTTTTGTGACTTCAGCAAAAGCTGGCAAGCAGAAGGACAGAGTTGGCTCCCAGGCCAGATGGAGCCTGGTGCAGCCGGTGTGTGACACATTTCTCGTGCCACGGGAGTGTGTGACACCGAGGACATGGAGGAGATGGCTGGAAGAGCTTGAGCATTGGGAGCCAAACAATCATCTGAGCCTTGAATCCTAAGGATCCTCAGGCTGTCTCTGTCACGTTCATACAACACATCTGTTCACTCTAACATGCTTTAAAAATCTGAAAACCAAAACTTTTCATAACTCTTCCTAACATTTTAGGATGCAAAACAGTATTTAGCTATAAGGTCATCTGTCCTAGGAAGATTTAAAAAATCTGATGTAATCATCACTTCCTAAAGATCTCAGGCTGATCTTCTGAAGACTAACATTACAGGGCTGTATCAAGGGTCTTCCGGTTTTAAATCTCTACCTACAGCTTCATTGCTTAAGTTTCCAAAGCGTCTTGCTCTTGGTACAGAAGATAGGATGGCTACAGTACTGACTTTTCAACAGTTGAGAGAAGCAGTTTTGCTAAAACACAGTATTAAATTAAACCATCACTGTGTGTGGTTTCCTTCTTTTGCAAGTGGATTATACGCTCCTTCCAAAGGTGCAGAAAGGGTTGGGGAAGGGGGCCAAGGGCAGTGTTCAGTTTATATATTCTTCCATTTTGCAACTCATCCCATGAGTTAAGAAAGGGTAATGATATTTATGATAAACCTCCTACAGTACATTGTTTTACTTTTCAAGACCAATCTTGGTGCTCCATTATCAACAAATGCAGAGACAAAAGGAGTGTGACTTTTACCGTATGAGAGCGAGCCTGTCTTTTTCAGATGGATGATCATCAAGCCACTGGGAGTAGCGGGCAATGGACCACTCAGCCCTCTGATACAGGGAAACACAAACAAACATCAATTACACCCAAATGTGAAAAACTAAAGACACACACACTGATCTCAGAATCAAAGATGACATAAAAGAAGGCCACAAGAGGCTCTCTTAATACTGCAATGATGCAGAATGAGCTAAGGAATCAGAGAAAATTAATTAAGACATCCTGATAGGTTATTTGGGAGCTCGGAGGTGCTCTCCTGCATCAACTGTTTGCCCTTCTCTGACAGGGGTTTGAATGTAGATTTCCAGCATCTTACACAAGCAGGATTCGGGCAATTGGCAGCCTGGGGTAAGACCTGCACTTTCTTCCATGAGCTGACAGAATATTAAACAGTTGAGAGTCTATTTAAAATCAAGTTACCATCTTCCTACTGTTGATTAATCAAAATATGAAGTCAATGACCATAATGCCATTGCCACAATAAAAACAAAAGCAAACAAATCATATAAAGTATGAGCTTGAATACTTTTAAACTAGAATAACAAGGGTGAACTACAATGTTCATTCCTCCTTAGGATATCCTGAAAACAAAGACAGGTTAATCTTATTACCTGGAAGGGTGATTTTAACTCTGGTGGTGCTCTTGCAAATAAGAACTGAAGGATAATGCTGAATGGAATAACCTCTCCCAGAGCTGGGCTACTGGCAATATGCTCACTGGTCTGGAACAGCAGCGGTCTGGAAAAATGTAACAATATACTTGTGAAAGGAAGAAAAAGCTTATCTTATGCATTAGAAAAATGCCTATATGGTAGTAATACTATGTTCGGATAGAATCATCTAATTTTTTTCCACTAGACTGCATCTTAGGTTTCCAAAACAGGTTCAGTTTGTAAAAAAATGCAGAAGTTGCCTATTGTAATTAGACAACACAGGAATGTAAATTTTATATTTCAGTGAAAACAAGATAACTATAGAACTCACTGTCATACAGAAATTGCATTGAAAGCAACACAAAAAAAGTACAATTTGGCTAACATTTGCATGACAAAGATTGTTAAATCATAGTTATACTCTGCATAAAATTTAAAAGAACTTTAATCTATTTCTAATTTGCAGGTGGGTGTTGCCAAGAAAGCTCTCAGTTCAATCAGAATACGAGGTAAGAAATCAGTTTTGAAATACAGTTTGGTCGTGCTGCCAATTACTAGTTCCTGCAATGGCAACTCACCTGAATGACCTCAGCTGTCTATAGGGTTTTCCTAGGTCAGAGACTCGCCGACACAGTGGTGCCACTGCTAACTCCATCTATAAAAACAGACGTTTTAATTTGAATTAGATTCCCCCAAAGTATAAAACTTGGTATCGAAGTAGCCTGCCTTTAGGCAACAACCCAAACTTGCAGTCCCTGACTTCTTGCTGGTGGCTGGATTTGAGACAATAACCTTTCCTTCTTCCCTTTCCCTTTCCCTTTCCCTTTCCCTTTGCCTTTGCCTTTCCCTTTCCCTAGGTAAATTACAAGCCAAGACTTTTGCCTTATTCTTGGCAACACAGTCAGCACCCACTGCAAATGATAGTGCTGGTCTATGGTTAAGAAGAGAGGAGGTCTCATGATCTTTCTGAGCCTAAAGCTTTGTTTCTTGCAGCCGGTTTATTTTGTTGGTGGTGAGTTTCCTGATGAAGCACTTATGTCAATACGCCAAAAATCTGACCACAGCCTTGGAAGGAACAAATCTAGATGGGTCTCCATACACCACTCCTAAAGCAGTAAAAACACACCCCCACTTCAGCTGGACACCCTGTCCTTTGCCAAAGGACAAGTGATTCCTTCTTGAACTCTCATCCCATGAGAGTTCTGGGGCACAAAACCTAAGCAGATTAGACAGAAGGCAGCTACGACCTATTGCCATGGGGTCATATGGAATCACAGGCAAAAAAGCATCAGTAAGAGCAATATTTTGTACTGTTCACTCTCTGAGTTACAGCAGCCATCTTTAAAAGTAAACAACTATTAAACACTTTCTGTTTTTTAAGCACTGGAGTTAATCCACCTTTTTGAAAAAGAGTCAGGGTCCGTTTGGGTTTTTAGATCATTCATGTGAGACTAAATTCTGTAACAGGCTCTTCATTAACAGTGAGGATACAGAAGTGAGAAAGAACAATTTCACCTCCAGATCTAAGACTGAACGTGAACATTACCTGGTAAAATCCCAGTTAATACACACACTAATACAAACACCACCACTCAAAAAAAAAAAAGGTAAATTAATTTTAATCTCATACAGATTAAGCCTCTTTTTGTTGCATTCCTGAAATGTCAGTCAACAGAAGGATGCAAGCTCTATTGACCAAAGAATCACAGAATCACAGAATAGTAGAGGTTGGAAGGGACCTCAAAAGATCACCTAGTCCAGCTCCCCTGCCAGAGCAGGATCACCTACAGTAGGTCACACAGAAAAGCATCCAGACCACATACGTGTTTTTTTCAATCTCCACCCCTGAAAGACTATTCAGACTTTTGATTTCCACATAATGCACAATTAATCTAAGTTTCAAAAGGTGAGAGCTAAAATAAGTAACGAGATCAAAACTACCATACAATGAGCTTCCCATGTAAGTAAAAATGCTGGATGAGTTTCAAAGCATTTGTGCTAAGACACTATATTTACAGTGAATTCTTTAATGTTATTATTGTTTCCAGTTGTAGGATTTCCTCAGACAGAGCTGGCTGTTGTGGCACCGACTTCACCAAGAGCACGTAACTATGCTGGTGTTCCAGTATAAACAGGAAAGATAATGCGGTGAACTGTGATGTCACAGTTCACCTAAAACCAGACGAAATTAAAATTAGCAATTAATGTAACTCCAGGTCATATACTTCAAGCAGGCGGCAGGATGGGAGTTGTCTCACCTACTTCTCATCATCTACAGGTTCTCTTCATACTCAGTGGGGAGAAACAGCCACTCCTGGGCTGTGACGCATCTTTCCCAGGGGTAGACATCTAAAACAGGTCAGGTGGGTCACGTTGTAGGAGGATCCACTTACAC